ATTAAACTTAATGATAATTTATAGCTGATTCAAGTGACACTTTAAAAACTTGTGTGAAGGATATTAGGGTGTTTTATTATTAGTTAACACAGAAAAATTACAAGTGAATCAGTTTACTCTTACTATAATTACATAGTTTATTAGTAGCATATAATAATAATGTAATTAAAATTACTAATGTTCATTTTAATAGACACTTTTACAATTTTTTAATTTAATTTACGGCAAAATTTGAATGACATTATTGAAAAATACAAATTTGACATGCCCAGGCATAGTGTAAGTAACAAAAACGCTTAAAAGTATTTTGAATAATCCAATTACAGTATACCACTATATAGCCAGTAGCACTGATGCAGTATTAAAAACTATTATGTTCAAGTATAATATGTTCTTATATGTACTTCAAGACATAAAAAAATTGTAAGAGCTTATTGAACTGATATAATTGATGTTAAACATTAAGATGTATTACTGATGTTTGATCATTAGCCAAGAAGTCGCAAGAAAAATTGCTAATCTCATCGACATACTTTTTAATAGCTGTTGCATTCGAAGAATATATTAAAAACAAAATTCCATTAAGTTAAATGTAATTTTATAAGGCCATCTAGTACACCATTAGATAAGCGTGCAAACTGGCCATGTAACAATTAATATGAACGTGGTGAATGGTGCAAGCATCGACCTGAGATACTTTGCAAGTTGTCGTTATCGCATTAATACGCCTAACGAACAAAATACTAATGAGACCTATGTGACCAGAAAACGACACCAGATGGTCATTAAGTGTCTTTGAAATGAAACTTTTTCAGACACGGTAAGTAGAAACGATTTTGATCAAACCATGTAACGAAAAGCGTGACGTCGTCGCACAAGAATCGGTTTAAAACCCACATAAATTATAAATAGAAGAAAAACTTTATAATTTATTTACATAAAGTATTACTCCTTTATAATTATGAATATATTTGTTTATAAAAAAATGTTATAGGTATACCTACCCAATTTTAAACGTGACTACCCATAGTCACTCCTCGCGAGAGGTTTAACATTCAACTGTTAAATTTAAGTGCATTCAAAAAATTGTGAGTCAAAAACAATCCTACTTTATTTTGACCTTAGAAATACAGCGCAGAATTTCAATTTTGTTACAAGAACTTGGAACACACTCAGGAAGAAAATTACAATAACCACTTTGGTTGATTGGTGAGGCCACGCCGAAAATGAGCACAAAATATACATATACATTTTTCGAAAAACAGTTAATATATTTGAATTTAAAAACGTTTGACATAATTTACCATATATTAATGATTTCAAACACATGGTCTGTGGTGACGTCAGCGTCATCGATGGTAATAACAAAACGCCAAACTATTACAGTACAGAATGAACAAATTATGTGTTTATGCGGTACACAATCGAAACAGTTTTTTTTTCTCGCTAATGAGGCACATTCACGGTGTCCTAATCTAACACCTTTCAACATATTTCTATAACAGCACAACGATACAGATACAAAACGCGAACGGTATAGTCCGTTAACTACAACTTAAACGGTAATGTAAACTTCTCAACTAGGCAAGACCAAAGTTATAATCGTTTCAACCCTCCTCCCGGCGGGTAAATGATGACACACGATGCAATTATAATATATTGCGGCAATTTTAAATAACATCAGAGAGGCTTTTGAACCTTAAGATTTAAGTCTGCGTTAGAGAAAATACATTTTACCCACAAGCGAATAGGTATACATAACACTCCTCTATTGCTGTTGACGGGGTTGGCTGTATAGCGCTAATGGTAACCATGACACCTCCTATGGGAAATCTACCGCCAAGTACACCAGTGTCGACGTCTCTCACGCCTTCCCCTCCCCCAACCACAATGCACACACTTATATACGCATGATAAAAAGTATTTTCCACAGCATACACACAATACACTTGCTATAACTGTGCGTTTAGCGGAGGCCATAACAAAGGGTAACTGTATTTTGATTAGTCTTAATCCGTCTAAAAGGGACGAGTAGCAATAAAAACATACCCACATCATAACGAAGGATTCAAAACGCCACTCTACCCTACCATTAGCATACAACACATTATTGTTAATATATAATTTTTTTTTATGCATATTATAATATATTATACCTCAAAATATATATAACATCTCAATTTCATATTATCTTAGTGTTTTTTTTTTGTGTTCAACACGCCATTTAAACCTTTTGCACGCTTTTTCATTCTTACATCCATTTCAACATAAATCTATGAATTCTTACGATATAAATGACCGCTAATAATGTCACCTCTAATATTTAAAAAAATAACATTATTACTACAAAATAATAAACAATGGAAATTATGGCCTGCCATTCAGTCATAACAATGGTTCTATAAAATTATAGATTAGCTTTAATGTTAATTGTGTGAATAACTAAAAAAAAAACTGCAAAAGTTGTTCTAAGTTATATATATATAAATACTATATGAAATGTTGATTTGTTTGATCATAACTGACTACGGACGTAAAGTAAAAGTTAATAAATATCAGACGCTATCGCAAGATATCAACAAGAACTTGTGATCAATGTAGACCGTCTACAACAGCCAAGTGATGTACACTATCATCGTGACATCAACATAAATGTAAAAACGCTAAATGATACACTCGGTTAACAAAACAAACGGGCGATCCGTGTGATGCAAATTATCCAAATTCTATAGTCAATAGACCGCCATTACGTACAGCACCTATAAACCGTATCAATGCGATTTGCATACAAATGTGATCTAACGACTAGCTTTTGTGTAAATTCCCATTGTTTTATCAATACTTAAGTTTAAATACGTTCTTTTTAGCAAACGATTTTTTTTTAACTCGTCTTCTCCTAAAAGCCGACCAACTAACTCATGATTCTATACTACACTATGATATCGCCAAATAATGGCTTACGTGTACTCCGCACACGGTTGTGAGGATAAACATTCACATATTTTATTTTGATAGTTTCGCCCCCAACAACCAGTAATTTGTATGTAATAATACTGATGTAAAATAAACAAAATAAAGTGTTTTTGTCAATCGTTATCAATTGGGTGGGATGCGTGGCGTATATATAGTTTAAAATTTACATAGTTTTTTCTCAGATTAGATAAGTACAGTATTATAAACGACAAATATATTAAACCAAGCCTATTTCGCCAAAAAATAACTCGATAGTAAATCCGCGATATTAATTATATGAATAAATATATATTATACCTTGTAGCTACTTGAAATAGAAAAAAAAACAATAAATTAAGTCGAATATTTTAACTTGTCAACTTTCAAAATTATTTCTAAACCATTTTTTATTAAATATAATATGTATATTATATTATAATTGAAGCAAAAAATTAAGATTACAAACTACAATAGGCGAAAATATTGCAAATGTTCATTGACAAAATATATAGGTATAACATCCCTTAGGCTATCAGAGGGAAGGTAGTGAGGAATTCAATTGTAACACATCACTTAATGTAAACAGCGCAGTCTGTATGCGACTGGAAAACGTAATAAGTGCAGCGGCCCGGAAATTAATGAAAAACCACATGGTTTATACCCGTTCATTGCAATCTGTAAACAAATGCTGCCAACTCCACGCGCACTGATACAATACAATTACCAAATTGATATAATACATAAATGATAAATAAGCTCATTCCCGACACTTGAGAGCTAAATACAATGAGTGAAAGGCAAATAAAATTCGATTTACGACAAACATGTGTTAAAATGAGTAATCTACAACCTGTGCCAATTCTCACTAAATTCCTTTAGAGTTCATATTTAAAAACGATTATTTTCAAATAATATTTTATAAATTTGACAATTACAATTACTATTTTATTATTCCTTTATTTCTTTAAGAGAATACCGCTACTATTTACTCGTTTTTTTAGGTGTGCAAACGTTCGATTTCATTATAAAATCCATTAACTAGGATAAAAATAGAAAATGCGTTTTACAGTCAAAAATATGTTTGATGGAATTAATTTTAATCGATTCATAATGCAGTCAGATGGATTTTAAACTTTCAGATGTATTACCCCCAAAGTACTTCGGGGTTAATTATACTTATTTTTACAGAATTTATTTTCATTGCCACACAGATATAATAATAATAGAACAAAAAGTTATAGTGATTACAGACACAAAAAAAAAACACATAATTATAAAACTAAACATTCTCAGCTACGCATCGAAGCTAAATTAAGAATGTGCAACCTTTATAAACACAAAACACTTTACGATTTTATAACATGATAGGTATTATCAACCACTTATCGAAAAAAAGAAAAACATTCAAGCCAAAATAAAATTCGTTCAGGTTCGTATAGTAAACTCTGGACTTTCGCCAAATCTCACCAACGAACATTCTGTAAACTATAAGACACATCTACAAAGCCCTAGGATCAAAACATATTTTCAAAGATTTACAAAAAAAAAAATCATTCCACCTCACAATTTAAAAATACAAAATCGTAAATTGTTGTTTATAGTAACCGATCTTACCCCGCACAATCTTAAAATTAATATCATTTATATCCACTTTTTACAGCCTACTCAATTTATATTGGTTCTTGGCTACAGCCAACTAACCATAACAACGGTCTATTGTAACGTTTCTATTTATAGAAAATCCATAACAAAAATTAACAGCACATGAATTGCCCTAAATGTTTGATAAAATTATCATGTTGATTTGAGAGTTTATCAACAATTATTATACAAAGACCAAAAATACATACCTAATTAAATATTCATGTAAAAAATCTAACACAGCATAAAGCAAAAGTACAATGTAAGTATAACACTAAAAGAAAATGTGAAAAAAAGTTGTACTTATTTTACTATCGCGTAGTCAATCATTTATGAACATTATGAAACATGTTTAAACCGCTCGACTAACAGTTCTTAAATAATAAAAATTCATAATCACAACTTACCTTGGCACTGAAATCCTTGTTTCCCAAAGCCCCTAAAAACAAAAATACTAGTTAGTTCATTGTTCTATGTATGAAATGTTACAACACTGAAATAAAAATGAATAATGTAAAAACACTAATCCTATCAGTTTCCTTCTAATCCCATTGGATTTTAGTTGATTAAGCAAACAAATGTACTTAAAAATACAAATATATACGTAGATATACATACATTTTAACTATAAAAAATACTTAGATAACATGAAATTTATTTTTTAATTAGATGTTTTTCATAAAGTTTATGTACGAAACTAAAAACTGATTAATATATATAAACAAAAAAGATAAAAAAATTAAACTAAATATATATATGTCAGTTAATAATATTATTTGTTGTAAATTATCTAAAATTGATCTAAAAATTATTTCCTTTTATCAAACCAAATTAATGTTTATGCTTAAATGAGTCAATTATATTTTTAATTCTTTAGAATCACTCGCAAAATAAAAAATGTTATTTTTAGAATATTCGACATTTAAACTCAAAAATGCTGTAGAAAATATACAAATATTTAATAAAATTATTTCAGCTAATAAATACTTCAACAGAAAAAAATATTCAAAGCATTACTTTTTTATTTCTTTTTAAGAAAATATGTTATTGCATTTTTTAATAATTCCAAAACTTAAATTAGCTGCCCCAACTTTTAAAAAATCACATAATATAACGATAAAATAGCAGTTTTATTACTGCAGTATACTGCATAAGCTAATATAATGGATTAACAAAAAACATCAAACTATAATAAGATTACTGAGTACCTATAGAAAGATATAATAAACTAAAATGTATATAGAACAGCTACAAACTATTACAAGAATATGTTTAAGATGCAATATAATATTGATGAATCTTAATAACAGGTTATAGAAATTATAATTTCTTTACGGAATATTTTCTACCTTTCACATCCATAAATTCCTTTGATGTTGAACCATAAATGAAAGTGTTTTAAATCATAATAAGGTATGCCGAACTCAAGTCTGATTGCCAAGCAGTTAACAATTATTTACACACAGATATTTGGTCATTTTTATTTAATTTGAAACATTTCTACCATAAAAGAAAATTAATAGACACACTCTTAATTTTAAACATCACCTACTACCCCTTATGAAAAGCTAAAACTCAAATTTTAATTTAAAAAAAAACCGTACAGTGGAGTCAAATCATAATGAGAAGTAAGGAGGGTGGCGGGTCTTAAGGAATAAGTATAACTCAAAATGTCAAAAACACCGAAGTTTAAAATCTACCCTAAAAAATCAAAATAATGAAAAACTTTTAATCCCTTCTAGAGAAAAAGGTTAGTATTTTTTACGGGGTTTTACTGCAGATCGTTAGTGACAAAATAAAAATATTATACCTTTACATGTATGTAATGTGTACATACATTATTATACATGTATAATATAACATACGTTAAATGTAAAGATATATATGTTTGATTTAAAACTAAAAAGTGCAATTTTCAAATAGAATTTTGAACTACTTTTTAATGCAAGTTAATCCGTGAACTAGTCGTAGTTAATACGTTTTATTAAATTAAATCGTAAATTATATTTATGAATTCGATTTGTATACTAAATAGTGACAAGCGGGCATTATTCAACGAAATGAAAAAAAAAACTGTTGTTTTGCATGGTCTACATTAATTAACCATAACGGAAATGCACATACACAGATTGTTTTCGTAAAATTTTTTTTTTTTTTTGTCAAATGTAAGCACATTTTATTTATAACGTATTTACATTTAAAATATATTTAAATTAGGACGCAAACATGTATACTAATTAGGATTTAAATTCGGGAGAGAAAAATGATATAAATATCCGTTATTCCGTTCACAATCCCGCTTGTTGTGTGGCCGTGAGTTGACTGTATAATTAAAGATTACAGGTGCCATCGTAGCTTTGAATGGCGAGGGCCTCATAACAAACATTAAAACTCAGAGACAATTTCTAGGGTTATTATTCCTCCGTTGAGTTAAATACTAATCTGAATTATTTAAAATTTACAATTATATTTGGTGAGTGAGAATAATATTCACGACTACAAATTTTATCGCACCATTTCTAATACAGTCTATAAAATAAGGAATAAAATTACACAGGAAATTTCAGCGCACGTTTGGTATTAATAATTTAATTTTAATGCCACACTAAAAGTTAGAAAACATAAACATAAAGTACACTTTATATTATTTAAGTATACAGCTGTGTTTAAACTTTTAAGTAAAACTTTGATCAAAAATGAACACATGGCGTAATAAAGTCATGGCAATTTATTAAGCAATTTACAATTCATACAGAACTAGTAGCATTCTTAATAAATAGTTAATTGGCCAACCCAAAAATAAGGTACAAAATAAAATGTTTTTAAATAAAAAATGAAGTCGTTGAAATGAACAGTATACAAAGTATATTTAACAATAAATAATTGGAAACCACAGTGAGATAACATACATTTTTCTATTTACTAGAACTACTGATTTTTTTTTTAAATTGTCAATGCAAACGTTTGTTTTAATTGCAACTAATATGAAACACATTTTTCGTATGGTTAAATTACAAAAGCGAAAAAAAAGCAACAATATGGTTCTCATGAAAACTTCGACATTTTTATCATAATATTATATTATATGCATGTCATTCCTCAACGGATTACCACATTACATTCCACTACAAAATATGCACTAAAAAAATATGTTCTGATTTGTTTGTTAGCAATACGAAGAATTCACGTGATGAAATTCCTTTTGCTAATCAATTTCGCTGTACAGGGTTAATACCCTGTAAATATAAGATAGGGTGAAACTACTATTTTGTAGAAAAATTGAGTCATAAACGTGGCAACAAGACGTAATAAAGCTGCCAATTTTATCGGCGTAAATCCTATCAACCCTGCCAAAAATAGAAAATAGACTAGATATACAATACAAATTTGACTTTGGTTTATTTAAATAAGTAATTTATAACGACATTTAGAATGCTTGTCATTAGAATGGCCTAAACCTTTGTGGTAGGTATATTAAATATGTTTTTGGAAGAATGCCTATATCGTTGCTATATATTCGATCAGCACAGATGTTTTTTAGGTAAAAAATAACAATCGATATACCTGTACAATTATTATTATTTGCAATGAGGGTCATTTCCAAAATAGGGGTTGTATTATTAACCAGTTTTTCTATTTTCAGTTGATATTACATTTCAGAAATGATAAACTAAATATATCTGAACTTAAGATCTTAAAGGGAGAACAACGCGACAATTGTTTGCAAAAATGAGTAAAAGCAAACATGTATCTATATTGTATAATAAAATAGGATTTGCACAAAAAAAATTGATCAATAATAAAGTGTTAAAATAATGAATATGGAGCTTTATGGAAAATCAAAACTTAAAAATTACAAAATATAGTGCGATTAACCGTCATGTAAAAATGTGGTTTAATATAATAATATTATGATAATGTAGTAATCGATACAGTTATCAGTATCGTAGAAAAAAAGTTATTAGCTTTGGTGATCGCTATTCGCCAAAAAGCTTAGCACCATCCAAAAATAAAAATTACTAAATCCACCCTATAGAATTTTTTTAGGTCACAATAATACATCATAGTAATTTTGTGTAATTTTCTTCCTCATATTTTAACAGCATTTATCCCAAGTTCCCGGTTACATTTATCTTTATTATCTTTTACAATTGTATGTATAGATCAGAGCTCGTGAAACAACTATAACTAAATACTGTATTATGTTATACATCTACACACATTTTTCATATAACCTATTTAACACTGATGTAATGTAAAGTGCCAATCACAGTTGGATTGCTATTTGCTTCGTTACACTTAAATATTTTCCTTAACATTGCGTTCACAACAACAACACAACGCATGTTTCTGTTTGATTTTATGTTTTGCCCGAATGACCAAACATTTTTTATGCGCATTTGTAATTATGTTTATCATTGTATTCGTATGATAAAACGATTCTCACTAATTTGCTCATGCGATATTATATTGAAGGCGGCAACAAGAGGGTCGCAGACAGAGATTAAACAAATTATTTTTCAACGGCTTGGAAACAAACAAACCACTCGGTGTGCTGCGATTTTGCATTTAATTAGGATGGATACGACAGTGACGGCGATGATGACGACGGTATGCCGTGCGATACCTATTGTGGTAAAAAGACGGGGTAGGCAAGGATCGTTAAGCGTTGGAAATAGCGAATCGACCCGGCTCCTTCTTCTCCGTTCTGGTAATATTATTAAGTACAATTCAAGACCAACAAAAGCGAGGAAAATAATAAAGCCGCGAGGGCGAAAATTGTATTATAAAGGTATATCGGAGTCGCGCTATTTTATGTGGAGCGAGTTAGTTCTCCGTCGGACATTAAACTTGAACTCATCAAACATTATACACTTCGGAATCGTTTTCATTGTTCTCAGTTTTCCCCACAACCGAACGTCCTATAGACGTTACATTGTTGGTTTTCCGGTGGAACTGAAAAAGGAAGATCAAAATCAACGAGTGCAAAAAAAGAAAAAAAAATCTAACATAATGATATCACATAACACCATAACGTCGTAATGCCCTCTGCGGTTGACCAATCTAATGACGACGATAACGATGGCAGCGTGTACATCTTCAGAACACGATTTACAGGGAGCACAAAAAAAACTAACAAATAAAAGTCCACTTTAGAGAGAACCCGAACTTTTCACAACACAAACAGTTACGTGCATTTTTTTTTTTTTAAAGAGAGATAAAATCGTTTGTAAATTGTTTTTAGGTCGACTCGGAAAGTTTCTTAAAACAACATCGAACGAAAACAAGTATAAGCAAACAGTATTACAAAAAAAAACTTATGTCAAGAGTACAAGTATTTTGAAATTAATTTCTGGCAAGTTTTTGATATACATAGTCAAAATTGAAATTTTGTGCATATTTTACTTTTTTTTTTTAACAGAAAACCAAGTCTAAAGT